TTGAAGTAACTTTGTTACTTTCGTTAAAAACAAACATAAATAACATCTTTTGAGACATTTGGAGCTTTAGCCACTTAAATAAATAATAATAAATAATGTTTAAAATAAACGCTACCAAGATGTCACCTATTTTTGAACGACATATATTATGTTATGTTGAAAGCATAAAAAATTTGAAATAAGTTTCCGAGGCGAATTTGAAATTCTTACTTGAATAAAAATATTTTTTGAAAACTATTCATCGTTTACCATGACGTCCAGAAGAGTTTCATATGAGCAACTAGAAGTCATGTGGGAGTTCTTAAATACTCACAGAGATGTTGCTGTGGGTTTTAATAAAAGTGCTCAAGCTCGCGCAACATGTCGGCGAATGTGGACAGAAGTATCTGAATGTTTGAACTCTATCGTGGGTGGTGCTATCAAAGATTGGAAAAGTTGGTCTAATGTGAGTTGGTGCTATATTTTCTATAGAATTTACGTATTACTATAATAATATGTATATGTTAATTTTTCAATCAACTCTTCATTTCAGTATTGGGTAGATTACAAAGGCAGAATAAAAAGAAAGTGTGCCAGTATTAGGGCATCTCACCTAAGCACTGGAGGTGGACCTTCCACAGTACCGGAATTGACAGAGATAGAATTAAAATTTCTGTTAATTCTTGGTGAAGACCTCGGCTCAGGTCTCCCAGGAATTCAAGTATCAGTGGAGACAGAACTTACTCATGTAAGTAATATGTTTTAAATAAAAAAAGGTTTATAGTTCTCAATTATTTAATAGTGTTATTTTATTACTGTACCTATAGGGCTGTTGCCCTCTAAATAATAGATCTAATTCTTATAGTTTACAAGACAATCTACTGATCACAATGGTAATATCATAGTTTACATTTACAGAAACTTAAACAGTAATTCACAAAAGCTAAAAACATTGAAATAACAGCTAATTTGTTTTGCAGGAAACATCAAATGAAGCTACTAGGGATACTGCAGTTTTTGCATCGATGGCAACTATTGATTCAGATGCAAACACTGGCCCATCATCATCCATCCATCCATTCACCATTCAGGATCAACCACCCCCCACTCAGCCTGATACCCAACCCACTCAGCCTGATACCCAACCCACTCAGCCTGATACCCAACCCGCTCAGCCTGATACCCAACCTGTTCAGCCAATTGAACCGAGGAGAGCGTCCGTACAGAGAAGACACCGGCGCAGGCCTACGCCGATGTCACAGGAAGCAGCGAGAAGGTCGCTTGCTGAGTCAAGCCGTATGCGAGCAGAGGCCACAGTCAATATGGCCAACTCATTGGAAATTTATCTCCGTCGTATAGCAGATACATTAGACAGGATACACCAAAGGTAATTAGCTATCAGTTACGAAGTTAATAAATACTGGTGTTTTATATATACTTATATAATGGGATATAAAAAGAAATTGTTCCATTTTTTATTTAATCTAATGCAATTTAATATATTTTTCAGTTTAACCGGCATGCCCAACAATGAGCAATGAGCTGTCTTCGAGCAGCTATGCCTTCCTGCAAATCGAAATTATGAACTCTAGAAGAAGACTGCTCTGAAATGCTGTCTACATGGTGGGTAGGTTGTAATTGTGCTTCTTGTAACAGTTCTTCAGATGTCATGTCTTGCACAGGGATACTGGCTCTATTACAAATATTGTGTAAGATGACACAAGCATTTACAATAGATCCTGCTACAATAGGTTCATAATGTAGAACTCTATGCACAAGAAGACATCTAAAGCGTGCTTTAAGAAGCCCAATAGTCCGTTCTATCACATTGCGAGTTTTCACATGCTGTTCAGTGTAGTAAGCCTCTGGTGTATCAGGAGCAGCATCAACAACTGGAGTCATCATGCTTTTTCTTAAAGGGTAGCCAGAATCACCTAAAAAAAAAAGTTTTCTGATGAATCTTAATAAATACTAGCATCAATATATCAGTTATTAGTTACATTGGCTTACGGTAGATTTTGTGATGAAAAAGAATACAAACCTAAAAACCATGTGTTATTTAACTGTTCCATAATAGCTTTTAATGGATGGTGACCCCATATAAAGGCATCATGAGTTGCTCCCCCATGGCTGGCATCCACACTAATTATTTCCATGTCAGAGTTGCATACCTAAAAATAATCAGTCTTTTGATAACTTATAGAGGCAATATTTTTTTTGTTTCAGAAATTACTTCTTGCAACAATCTAAGAAATCTAATATAAATATAAAAGAGGAAAACTAAGCTGAATGAAGCTGAAGATGAGAAATAAGCTGATTGAAGTATCACTTGTACACTGATTATATTAAAATCGGTCCAGCCGTTCCAGAGATTACCCGGAACAAACAGACAGACAGACAGACAATAATTGTAAAAAATGTTATTTTGGCATATGTATCGTGTCAACATACATATATGCATTTAGTAAAAAGCGGTTATTTTAATATTACAAACAGACACTCCAATTTTATTTATTTGTATAGATTAGTGTATTTGTATGCACAATTAATTGAATGATTATATATTTCTTTTGTTATTGTTTTCTTTTTATTTAAAAAGACACCTCCCGCATTGTATCACTGGGGACTTCAAAAACATACATGAAACAGACACAAAGAATGTGTGTTCGAAACAAAAATTTGTGGATTACACAGTGTTGTCCCATGCGGGAATCGAACCCATTACACTCAGCACAGTAGGACGCGGTGAGCTGACCGCTTAAACCACTACACCATCTGTGCAGTCAAGCATATTAATCAAGGCAAGGCACATACCAATTGTACATTCAAAGAATGATACTGTTTTCTACAGTAAAAACGTTCTTCGTGTTCCACTGGCCGTTTTATTGCAACATGTGTCCCATCAATGCATCCTAATACTCCAGGCATATGATTTTTTTTATAAAATCTGAAATAAAATTGTTGATAAGTCATACTAGACTATTATATAAACAAACCTACAGAAGTAAATTGTACTCACCCAACTATAGTAGCTCTACGTTCATTATCACTATTAGGAAATTTTATATATTTCTGTCGGAAATGTGGAAGATTAAGGCACTGGGTTACTTGTGCTATTACAGCTGAAACTGTTTGTTGGGCAACAGAATGTGCAGCTATGTCCCCAGTTGGTCTTTGGTACGATCCAGTCGCATAAAATGACAACGCGATCAAAACCTGAATTAATACATTTAGAATATTAAGCTTCCCTTATATTGTTAATTTAAGTCCTTTTAATACTTCATATTTAGTTCCATGATATAAATATGTTTATAATATACTACAAACCTTGACTTCTAGACTTAAATCTGTGGACTTCGTAGGTTGTGTCATGAACGGTCTCATCTCATTACACAGCTCAAGTACACACTCTTTCGTTAGCCTATATCGCTGTATAAACATTCCGTCTTGCAATTCGAATGGTTTAATCAAATTTCGGATTGCATTCCTATTAACTTTGTCACTTACTTTCTTTTTAGCGTTATTAAAATCATCTTCTAAAAACTCAAATACTTCGTCTTCATCACACATCTAAAATAACGGAAAATATAATGAAATTTTGTTCTGAGAAAAGTCTTTAATGATGTAGCTTGAATATTCTAAGCACAAATTAACAATCACTTACATTTTTAATTCAAAATCACTCAAAACAGTTCAATAAAAGTTACTACTTTACGCCTGCGAAATATGACTGCAGGGCAGTTCAGTTTTCGGATATTCAACTGTCAAATATCACTTCATGGTAACGCCAAGCCGTTGAAATCTTAATCACGTGACCACTGACCTGAGATCGCTGACTCGCCTGCTTATCATCGCGTTTATGGTACAAAATAAAGCGACCGTTCAATTCTCGACTAAAATTGGCCTGTTTTAAGAGTTCGTGGTAGGCCACCTGGTCCCTCATTGAGGGAACTTTCAGATATTAAGCTGAAAAGAACAGATACTACACTTTGATCTTAGCCAAAAGGCCGAGAAGCGATACTGTTGATTCAAATTCCAAGGAACCTGATGCAGTAGCTGAGAGTCTTAACACCGCGTTTTACAAAATCGGCATTGCGCCATCTATCGAGTCAGTTCGAAAACTGTAGTAGTCACTCAACACAACATGATTTCTTAAAATAAACTACTACTAAAGCTATTTCTGCATTTACTGAATCCGTAACCAGTTGAAATCTTACCACAATTACATATGCATTACATATTGTGGTAATTTGTCCAAGAATGATTTGCGGATCAAAACTTATTGAGATAATAAAGATTTTGGAGTTTTTTTAAGATAATCTATAATAATCCATAAAAAATCATGATATGACAGCATGCATTTTAAAAATATTTAAAAAAAAGTAAATAAGAAATTTTCCGTATGAAAACATAAATCTAGAACGAAATATAATCTAAACTTTACCCCAAATATTTTGAATAGGTATTCTCACTCCTGTAGGCAGTACAAAACTGATTTAAAGCCTTTGGTGAATAATCAATTATTTCTAAAACTAATTTTTAATTTATCTATTACCACGAGACTGATATTCCATGCTTATTAACGTAAAATAGGTCATTCATGGTAACTTTCTTAATAAAATCTGATTTTGTTCCCATTAATAATTATACGTGACATGTACCTGTACTAACTAGATTCATTTAAAAGCTTGTAAATAAATGTGTCCCTCGTAACTGGTTACCTGCGTTTTATTTCAAAACGAACTAAGGGTACATATAAAAAAAACACTAACTTTGTGCGTTCTCGGTATAACACTTATGGAAGGCCATAAGTATTATACGGAGAAATATGTGAAATATTAAAAAAATTATAATAATAATTTAATTAATTAACAATTTTGCCCAGGTCCCAGTTTTCATACGGACATCTATGGCAATCATTACGAGTAGTTGGAGTCCTAAAAAGTTCGACAACAGTCTGTCTACAGAACTTCGATATCGCCTAGTACTTGGGTTGTTGAGGTGTGATGGTAGTCGCTCACCTTGCAAAATAATTTGTCCTGATTGCGATGCTATTAGATTTTGGACGTCCATAGGTTGCACTTGCAGCATTGGTTGTTGCACTTGCAGCGTCGGCTGCTGCACCTGTATCGTGTTCCCTTGCACTTGTAAAGTGGGCTGTTGCACTTGCAGTGTTGGTTGTTGTACTTGCAAAGACGGTTGTTGAACTGACATAGCTGGTTGCTGTACCTGCAAAAGTGTACTTGTTAGTTGGTGATCTATACTGATATTATAAAGAGATTGTTTGTTTGTTTGATTGATTGATTGAAAGCGCTACTACTGGTTCATTAAAAAATAATTTTAGTGTTGGATAGTCCATTCATCGAGGAAGACTATACTACTCTGTGTAAAAATATCGGGAATGTGTCAATAAAAAGACCCGCGTAAAAGAGGTCGTTCTAATTTTTTTACTGCATGTTGGTAGCACTGTACTGATTAAGCGCGCAAAATTTTGAGCGGGATTTGTCATTTAATTTGTTTTAAACTACACTTTTTGTTGGTGATAGTTTTGAGTCCTCGGCGATTTTTACAATGGAAAATATTGTTGAACTAAGAGTGTGCCTTAAATTTTGTGTTTCGAATGATATTTCTTGTGGTGAATCACTAAAAATGTTGCGAAATACCTACGGCGAATCGTGTATATCGAAAACAAGGGCTTATGAATGGTATAAGGCTTTTAAAGAAGGCCGAGAAGTAGTAGTAGACTTGCCTCGTTCTGGTAGACCTTCAACCGCTACGACCAAAGAAAACATCGACAGAATCAAGGAGCTAGTACTCGAAAATCGACGTATGAGTCTGAGAGAGTTGGCTAGTGAGGTGAACATATCTTTTAAGTCCGTCCACAACATTCTCATTGACAATTTAGGCATGAAACGCGTCGCCGCTCCACTAGTTCCAAAAGAGCTTAATTTTGTTCAAAAAGCGCAGCGAAAGCATGTCGCTGAAGACATGGTTTCCCGAGCTTCTACGGATCCGACCTTTATGAAACGTATAATAACTGGTGACGAGACATGGGTTTATGAATACGACATGCAAACAAGCCAACAGTCTTCAGAATGGCGTCTCGAAAACGAGCCGAAACCAAAAAAACCGCGGCAAAGTCGCTCCAAAATCAAGGTGATGCTGACAGTTTTTTTTGACCACCGTGGTGTGGTTCACTCCGAATTCCTTCCAGAGGGAGAAACAGTGAATAAAGAATATTATTTAGGCGTCATGAAGCGTTTGCGTGAGAGTATCCGCCGAAAACGTCCAGATCTGTGGCAACACAACTCATGGTTGCTGCACCATGATAATGCACCATCACACACAGCCATTATAGTGAAAGAGTTTTTAGCGAAAAATTCAACAAAAGTTCTCGACCAAGCACCGTATTCACCTGATATGGCTCCGTCTGACTTTTTTTTATTTCCCAAGTTAAAATTACCACTTCGAGGAAAACGTTTTGAGTCGATAGAAGCCATAAAAGAAAATTCACTGAATGAGCTAAACGCCATACCGCAAATAGCCTATGAAAAATGTATGGAAGACTGGGTGAAGCGGTGGAGATGTTGCATTGCAAGCGATGGGGCCTACTTTGAAGGCGATAAAATAAATTTATATGAATAATTTGTATTTTTTGTTTTATTGACAAATTCCCGATACTTAGTACACAGAATGTATAACATCACGCTACCGCCAATAGGATCCAAGCATTTCATTTGTTTTATTTTATTCAATGGGTACAGAACAGACAACAGATCAACATATACAATAGCGGGCACGAGTCATTCCTCCATCTTCTATGTTCCAGAGTTACTAGGGAGAATCTTCGAAGTCGGTCAACATATTCCGGTATTTAATGTAGCCCATACTTTGAACATAAATGAAAAATGTTTCTAAAACGTGACAAATTTATTATTTATGTGTTTCTATTTATAATATGTATGTATTTACATTAAATATATATGTGTTTATATTTGTCTAGTGCTTGCACTATGCACTGCTTAGTTTGGGACTAAAAGGCGTTGTAAGAATGTAATAGAATATTATGGTCCTGCTTCGACACCGAGACTTCGAAATCTCTAAATCTAGGTTCGTTACCCCAATTTACTTTCCCCCTTTATCTCGACTGTTAACGATTATATTACCAAGGAAGGCCATCAATAACGAAAACAAGCGAAAACCCGGATGGATTTAGGGTCCGCGCTATGAGAACATACGGATGTATGTTCTCATAGCGCGGACCCTAAATAAAATTGGACACTGGGTAGAAATTTTTTATCTATACAATTTTAAGTCATGAATTCCAATTGCATTAGTTTCAACATCATCAACAGTCTTGAATAGTCCACTGCTTAGAAAGAAAGTTTTGGCCTACTATACCACGTTGGCCAGACGGGTGGGTATAGGGTTTCTGTCAAGTTTTCCTTCTCTCTGCAGGGCTATTACCCTGCATAGTTTTCTCGTTCAAAAACCAAATATTTGTAATTTTTTTTTTTACAAAAACATTGTTACATTGAGATTTTTCTCTCACTCTAAGATTCGGTGTTTTTCCCCAAATTGTTCATTGACAATAGTCAACAACAACGTGAGTATAACCGCAGACAAAAACTAGTTAGTATGAACACATACTTGTAGAATAGGTTCTTGTATGAATGATGCGTTGTCTCCCGTCGCCGCCACCAGCATAGAGGACTGCATAATGTCAACTGGTTCTTGCTTCGGCGGCATCTGAAAGAAATCATACGTTTAAATATTAATAAACACATATTTAATATTTAATCATCAGCTAACATTGGCTATGGAGGACAGATATTTTGGGCAATATGTACATATCTTGTAAGTTTCTCGATGGTTATGTAGAGAATGTATTATCGTTGATATGACATCGCAATTCACCCTTACTCGAACAGCAGTGTGGCACATGCATAATTAAATTCAGGTCGTATTCGCATCAATATCGTAGTTTGAGTTTTTCTTTTCCATAACAAAACGCACTAGCGAATGTGTTATTATAGATTATTAATTTTAAAACTTATATTCAGTCATGAAATATTGTCGGGAATCGGACAAGTTCTCAGAACGCGTTTTAAGTATATTCTATAATACATTAAATATTAATAGTTTTAAAATGGTAAACGGTACCACACACCGATACATTTGGTCAGTAAAAGATTCCCGTCATTTGTGTATTATCAAAATAAGAATGGATGTCTGTTTGAAAAGTTAAAAGAAAAAAATCGACGATGAATAGTAAGAGCGTCTCGATATTGGTATTACATTAAAGTAAATATTAGATAATTTGAAATTAATATAAAATATCCATTTTTGGTAGATTTCAAATGTAGAGTTTCGTCAATCCTGATTGCATGATAACAAAAATTAGAATAGACAACGCCCACTTGAGACAGTTATTTTCTCTCAATTGTTAACTTTTAACTTCTATAAGTATGAACAATGAATCGTAATAAAACTCCAAATACAACTAAAGTAATGTTTTTGACTTTGTGGCTTCTTACACACGCGCTGTAATTGGTGTTTGGTTTGAGGCGAGCAATACACTTGATTTATGTCTCCCCTTTTTTTTAAATTACAATTTATGATTATTAGACAAAAAAATATTATTTTGATACTTTTTTATTTAAAATCAAGGTTTTTTATTATATTTTAGTTTTTATTTTGATACTTTTTTTATTTAAAATCAAGGTTTTTTATTATATTTTAGTTTTTTTTTTAATACTATCCGATTCCTGGTTTTATTTTTTTTGCAAAAAGAATTTAACAAACATCGTTTCATAATTTAAACTCAAATAACTCTAATTGCCTAATGATCGAATGATTTATGATCATTATTTAATAAGGCAAACGGAATCTAGTATTTTCTACGCTACAAAATACAATGCTACAGCTACATGAATTTACATGACATATATAAGACATTTGTTAAATAATAACATTCTTTTTCTGCTGAAAGAAGACCTTAGCACGTAGGGCACCGATCCGCATTCCGCGTGGCCGCTGTAACGCCAATATGTACAGACATGAAAAAAATAAATAATTACGGGTAAACTTCAATTATATACAAAAGCGCGTTGCATAGCTCACCAAAACTCACCTCATTCACGATGACAATAAAGGCTAAGATTGAATGTACTAAACTGTTTAGTACATTAATTGCTAGCATAGCAGATGATCAATAGCGGAGCAAATAAGTAACGTGTCCAAATCACAATTGTTTACTAGTGCTGATTGTGTAAATCTACTAAGCTGTTAGGAAAGCTTTCTAACCTGTTGTAAATTACATACCCGCCTTTCCTTAGTGGAAGGTATATCGATTGGTTATCCTCACAATTAATATTATTAATTTATTTACTATGGAGTATATTCTTTGCGGAACAAAGAAAAGATAAAACTGTACTATCTTGGGTGCAATATCTGCCCACAACAAAATCTTATGTAAGCAAGCGATGATATTCGTATTACTACCAATCTCATGTGTAGCTGAATGGTAATTACAGTTTAAGGAGCAGGTTTGTATTCAGCGTAACTAGTATAGATAATAAGAATGTTACCAAATCGTCCTCGTCTTCCAAAGCTGAGGCGGCGAGTGCCGCATATAAGTTAGCAGCTGTTTTCGATACGCTTTCTTGGGGCGGGACGCTCTGTAAATATTTAAATAAAATGTTTATAATATTTAAAAATTGTACGTAAACATGCGTTGAAATGTATGTAACGCTACTTTTTGCGATAGAAAAACTGCGTTGCGATTTGCGAGATCTAGGTTTTTTAGGTTTTGTTTTGATCGGATAAACATATTTCACACATAACTATTATTAGTTATGTGTGAAATATGTTTATCCGATCACAACATTTTTATGTTATCATAAAAATGTTTATAAGTTAGGATGATTGCTACCTTCTGCTGTTTAAGCAGTAATATAGCTATTACTGCTGCTGTAGAATACTGTAAGCGCAACATTCCTCCAAAACGTTATACACGTTCCCATTAAGAAGTGAGAATTTTACGATTTTTTACGTTATGCAAACGAAAGATGCCAACTTACCTCTTTTTTTTCTTCAACTTTGATCTTCTTAGCCGGAGGCTCCGTGTAAGAATGATCAATGACTACAGTCTCAGCTATCTCCTTTTCATTTTTCACCTGCACTATCTGTCCTTGTTCATTTTTAAACTGAAGCATAGGTGGCGCCAGTTGATCACTCTTTAAGTGAATGATTTGACCTTGTTCATTTTTTATTTGAATTAGTTGGCCTTGTTCGTTCTTGATTTGGAAATATTGGTTACCTTGGGCGACTATGCCGGCGTCTGCATTGAATTGAATGACTGGAGTAGGGTCAGATTTGACTTGTACGATTTGACCTGTTTCAGTTATTTGAATTGTAGGAGCATTGATTTGAGGTCCCATCTGTACCACTTGCAGTGGAGGGTTCGAGTTCTTCTTAAGTAAGTCTGCTAACATTTTATTTTGAGCTGTTTTCTGTGAGCAAATAATATCTTTTATAGACATTATGATTATGTAATTTACAGTACAATTAATTATATAATATACTGAACTAGAGAACGATACTACGTAATATACTGAACTAGAGCATCTGTCCACTTTAGGTAATTGCGGGTTAGTAATTTCGCAAACTTCCAAGTATGAAACATTTCACTAAGGTAAATAATAGTAACTTCTACCACACATTTTGCGACATTCCAAGTCATAGGGATATAATTGAAACTGTCGCCGTGATACATAAATATACATTTTTGAATGTCATTTAGTTATATTACGTGAGGGCATGTCGGTCTAACGGTTAATAACAGTGACTGCTAAGCTAAAGGTCGTGGGTTTGATTCCCACCCAGGACAAATAATTGTATGACGTGTAAGTTATTGCGTCTGGATGTTATATATCTATAATATGTATGTATTTAGATATAAATATACGTTTATGAGAAAGATAGAAAGATTAACATTTATTCTGATATTCGAAGGTCACTATAGTACAGGCTCTGATATTACCATTCAAAACTATTGTAACCAATGACAGATTCGTATTACTCATATATTTTCCATACTCACGATAGTAAATTGTGCTTGCTCATCTATTTGTATCTGTACTGGTTCTTCTTTGGGCACTGAAGAGAAAAAATATATAATAAATACACTTATGCATGCGTACGAATAAGTAAAATAGTTTGTCCCGTCCTTGCAATGGTCCCAGTAGTTGACAGAGTGGTTGGCCATCTCAGATTATGATTTTTATGAACATTCTTGAATTATTAGAATAGTAATGTAAACTTATGCTTAATTAAAATGAAAGGAAAAACCTTTAAGCATCGTTCTGGAAACCTCTTTGGTTCTTTGTTTTTAGGGAATTATTATAATAACTATAACACGAGACATGGATAAATCTATACTAATATTATAAAGCTGAAGAGTTTGTTTGTTTTTTTGTTTGTTTGTTTGTTTGAACGCGCTAATCTCAGGAACTACTGGTCCGATTTGAAAAATTCTTTCAGTGTTAGATAGCCCATTTATCGAGGAAGGCTATAGGCTATATATCATCACGCTAAGACCAAAAGGAGCGGAGCACCAATGAAGAATGTTTCAAAAACGGAGAAAATGTATTACTATTGAGAGACGCAGACGAAGTTGCGCAGGTCAGCTAGTAGTCAGATATAGGTAATTTATACTTTTAATTTATATTTAGCCACTGACACAAAAAGACGGGGTCTAAGTGTAACGTGTTTATCTGCGTGAATGTCTGTTATATCATAGTATCTAAATCAAAACGTGGACTAATTTTAATCTAGATTTCTTTGAAAGATGACTCAATTGTGTTCAGAATTATTGAAGTGTTCGAAACTATAATTCAAGAAAAAAAAAATATCATTAAAGTTTTAGGAATTTTTGTTTATTTTAAAATTATAATTTGTTTGCAAACGAAATGAATAACTGGAAACACAAATTTAAGGTGTTTTATTTATGATTTAAAATGATGTTAATTTTATTTTATTTTTTTAAAGACAACTCCCGCACTAGGAATAAATACTGTGTCGCGGGGGACTTTACAAATATAAATGAAACGGACACAAAGGACACCCAGCCAGACTCAGAACAAGAATTTGTGGTTCACACAAAGTATTGTCCCATGTGGGGATCGAACCCACAACACCCAGTGCAGTAGGAAGCGGCGTGGTGACCGCTTAAACCACTACGTGCAGTCGATTATTAGTATTATTCAATGTATTTATATTTACCTATCATGTCTTCGGAAGTGATGACATTAACCTGCAAGGGAAAATAAAATTGTTTGAAAAATACCATTTGCCATAATAATAACCAAATAAATATGTAGAATTTCTAATTTCGTTTCTAAATTTTAATCTTACTCATAATTTTACTCATAATCTTACACTTATCTTTGTTAACCGAATCACCGAGTGTTGAGGTCATCGTAGAGCAACAACCAAACCATCGCCTCACCCCCCCCCCCCCCCCCTCCATTCTGTGACACTCAAGTGTCTATAGGCGGCGGTAGTCACTTACCATCAGGTTACCGATCAGAGTGCCAAGTGCGACAACGCGCACATTCGGCGCTGCGATTGGTTATGATTTCAATGCGGGCCAATCGCAGCGCCGAACGCGCGTTTACCGTGATGTAAAATAGACTCGCACTTGGGCCTCTGCTCGTTTAGACCCCTATACCATGAAAAAAGCTACGTTTGTTTTATATTATGTATGTACCTGTACTTACTAGTTCGTAACCATACATCCACTTCGAGCTACAAGTACGCAGTCTGCTGACATCTCGACTATGTGTACTAGTCGCAATATTCACAGGGACGAATTGTTGTACATATAATATATATGCAGTATATTTCCTAGTACCTCTTTATTCGATTCTATCAATTTAAAGCGGTTACCTTTTCTTGCGGCGCAGCTGGACTGCTACTGGCTACACCGCCGGGTGTTATTGTTGTACACTTAATCAGAGCTTCCGGATCAACATCCATAGACTGCACCTGAAAGTCAAGCAAAGTAGTAACTATTAGGTTCACTTGATTACTTTCTCCGGGATATTTGTCTCTGGAAATCAGGCTATCAATAACCACGCTGTACGCGGACTTCCAATATACGGCGTAGTAGACCGTTTTGCGCCCTAATGTCAAAACATTGTAAATATTTAACGATACAGCTATATGAGCACGCTCACTGACTCTAGAGATATGCCTTCATTCTTATTAATTATAATTCAAACACTTATAGTCGCAGCATCTTACTATAGGCCTTAATAGCAGACAAGGCTACAAAATCTTTTACTGGGAATGCAATACAACGGGTATGTTAATATTCACTCTTTTCTATTTAATTCGTTTTGTATTTTTTATAAACGAACTAAAATAATACACACTTTGGTACTTGTTATAAGGAGTATATCGAGATTCATTTCTATGTATACACCAAGCAATGACTGTAACGTAGTCAAAAAACATGCAAACTATTATTTCATTAATATTATATCTCTTGCTCGGAAGCGCTTGTATGTGCTCGCGGTTATTAATAATAATATTTTCACACATCTAACACACGGGCGTTTGGTCCTAAACTAGGCAGACCCTGTACTATGGTAACCAGACTGCTGATAAACATACTTATATATTTCTAAATACATACATATTAAACATAAAGTACACCCAGACACAGAACAAACGACCGTGCTCATCACAAAATTATTTGTCCTGGGTGGGCATCGAACTCACGACCTCTGGCGTAGCAATAATAATTAAAACATTTGATAAGCAGTAGACATTTTATTGCCTGTAGGTGTACCCGGTGTACCCGGTAGGTGGTATTGTTATGTAAAATTGTCGACTAAGATAACACTCACAAGTGATAGTATGCTTACCTGATTAGGTTGTTGTATTACTACAGTACTCGGAGTAGCTGGAACTCTCTGTTGACTTTGCTGCCTTTGTGCAACCTACAGTTACGCAAAGATTTATAATATATCATTTACTTCTATGCATTGGATAGATTTCAAAGTTTTTAAAGAGTAACAAAGTTGATTCTATAGTTTCAAAGGTATGCCTAAATTTTAGCTATAATTCATACGATGAAATATGAATATTAAATTTGCAAAAATTACTGACGTGTCACATACTATGTACGTATTATAGTCTATCAAATGTTACTTAGATAATAAACTTTATTCTAATTTGAAATTACAATAAACCCTGTCTTTTTTATCTTTCCTTTCCTGTCCTTTCCTGTCTATTTAAATCAAAAAAGGGCATAATTTATATAGTACCACATTATTTCACTATCTGGAAATAAGATAATTTCTAATAAAAAACATGCTTACAAATAAGCTAGCGTTGGGTACATGCCGTTCAAACCAGTTATTTTATTGTTAGTTTTAACTAGTATACTTGGCATGCGTTACTACATAATATCGCTTTGAACTGCCACTACAACTTAATCAATATTCCAGACAACATTACAAGGCACGAGGGCGGATGAGAGAACTATGTCTTATGCCACGATAGGTAAACGCTACTCAATTATGAGAAGTCAGAGTGAAGTTAAGTTCACCTTTACATTTCAGGCCACAGTAACTTAATTCAAAATGTTTTTTTTTTTTTGGGAAATTACGAATTATTATTATCGTACCATTTCACGGCCGCGGTGTTTTCGATTAATGCAAACGTTCAAAATATTTGGTATATGTAGTCTACACATGTTATGATTAAGTAGCGTTTTAGTTTTCGCTGAAAATTAAAATATTTGTTTTCAACTTAAATTACTACTTCAATGTATACTGTTATGTATTTATTAATTAACATGAACTAATTTGGACTGCTTCAGTTTTATTTAATTACTGTTGACCAACTTCTTAAAACACAACTTCTTTTAGCATTTTTGTCGATTTCTTTAGTAAAATTTAATTGTTTTTCTTTAATTTTAAGTTGTTTTATTCTTAAAAAGTCAAGCTTGGCAAACGGCATGCTTCACCCATATAATCATTTTCAAATCATAGGTTTAAACAAAAATAAAAACTTAAAATCACATGCATACGGTTATTTCTTGAATTGGTGTGTGTAGATACCTTAACTGTTGTTATCATTGTCACCTGGTTTCGTCTAATATCAGAATTGAATAATAATTAAAAAATAATAATAAATGGTAATTTTAGAAATTGAAGAGTGGCAAATTTTCGAAAATAAATTACATACAACGGAAGCCTTTTCCCCACTTCCCTGTTTTCAATTATTGTTTATTGGTCGAATTTTATCCCAAAGAAATAGTAAGTTTTATATAAGAAACCTCTTTTATGTAACGTTTATGTAATCAACATATCAATTACATAGCCCTCACGAGGCTTCTTTTTAAATCAAATCTTAGGTTTAAAAACTTTATTTGTTTTTACTAGCAAAATTTCATAAAAAACAACCTTACAATTGTAATCCTACTTTGTTCTTCTTAACTTAAAAACACAAAAAAACGCAAAATAGGAATAATACTAATACGACACAATAATAATATATAGTCTCTTTTTTTGCCTTTAAAATGAAACGACTATAACCCATCAACTTCACCAACACCTAACAACTCTTCAAATACATCACAGCATGTTTTAGTTGTGTTAGTATGCACTTACTTGCGTTTGTTGTAGTGCGGGGCTTACTTTATGTGCTAACAAGTGTTTAATTAACGTAGTGTTCGACGGACTCGACTCCAGCGCTTGGGATAAATGCGGGTGCGTTGTTGTTGGCTGTTGTTGTGGCTGCTAAAAAAACGGTTAGAAGTTGAAAAGTAAGCTGCATAGAAATATTAATGTTATCATTTTTTTTTTATCATTTCACACGGTTCGTAAGTAAATCAAATATATTTTAAGGCTATACAGTGCCAGGAATAACTTGTATAACGTTGTTCGTTGTTCGCGGTCGACGTCGACAATCGAGTTGTTGCAAAATAAATTCCCACTCGTGTTTATATGAGTAACTTAGAAAATCCCATCAAAAACACTAATTTTTGCCATGGAACACCTAAATTTATAGATTATCTAAAATAATAAATGTAATACCTGAACTTGAGGCTGCTGGGTGACGACGGGCTTAGCTTCTGATGCTGGTGGTTTATTTGTCAGCTGCGCTTTCAATATCGGTGAAGAAGGGCCTAAAATATCAAATTTAAGCATGATTGTTTAAAATTAGGTTTGGTGATGGTAAACTGAACAGGAATAAAGAAGCATTTGTTTTCTAAGGGTTTTGTAATACAATCTTGGGCTCTGAAATTAAATAACCAATCAATCTACAAAAGAAGGGTACATCAAAAGAGTTAGCTCTAAAAGGAAAGTTTGAATTTCCTATTTAATAATATTTTTTAATAATCTAACGGGACAGCACACTTGACAATCAAATGTCCTACACTAAATACGAACATTCTAAATGTTACAATTTGTTTAACAAGTTTTCAGAGGGGTTCTCGCATCAATCGGGTTAGTACAAGACTTTTTAGGGTCATAACAAAAAGGTTGTCACGATATGTCAACTATAAACACAGCCGTATGTAGGTTCACCATTTTAGCCTAATTATTTCGTATATTTACAAAAATTCCCATTTGTTGACTGCACATCTTAGTTTAAATTATTGACGACAATTTGTAATAAATATATGGTGTATGGTACTAACCAACCGCAGGAGCAGTTCTGTTCTGAGCATTTCTCGCCCTGATACCAATATACACCTGTTGTGACTCTCCATTTGCCAGGTTCAACGTATTAGGCCCCACTGTGCCTCCGAATACCGTCCTAAAAGAGAATTTTTTTATAGTTAACAAATTATACAGATTTTTATTGTTAAAATGGCTGTGAAACTATATTTTTAGCATATAATTTTCACTGTTCAATTCAGTAATAAAAAAATGAAAAATGTGTAATAGTAAGAAACATATATAACCAGCTGTCGCCCGCGGCTCCGTCTGCTAATATGGAGGGTATGAATATAATTTTTAGCATTGGGATAATGCAGCTACATTTTAGTGAAAGGATTTCCAGAAGCCGTGCAGTAGTTTCAAAGATTACCCCTATTACATACAAACAAATTTGACCTGTTTATAATATTATTATAGACATAGATGAGTGATAAAGCTATAAGCGTAGCTCTGATTAGCCGCGCACGAACCTGACGAGTCGCGGGAAGTGCGCGGGCGCGATGACGCCCTTGCGCGAGAGCTTGCTGCAGCACGCCACGTACTGGCGGTACACCTCGCTCGCCTCGCACGCGCTGTTGTCGTTTGCCGGAAGCACTTCGTACGCTGATCGTAGCCATACTTGGGCAAAGTGTTCGTTTTCCTGCAGAATATAATAACCGGTTTACTTATTGTTAATACATATTTATATAAATCGTTTGTATGGTTATAACAAAGTCTCATTTAGACAAGAATATATAAAAATATTTCTGTAATATTATAGCACACAACAAAGTTCTTGATACAACCGTGATAGTACTTTTGTCTATCACAAGAAAACAACGACACTACACGGATGGCGTGGTGCTTTAAACGGTCACCTCGCTGCGTACTACAAGTACGGCAGTTGTCTTTTATAAAACACAAAACACAAACACTCTATCGTAAAATATTTACAGAAACCCCAAAGCTTCTTCCTCCTAAGAAGGAGGAGTAGTTCCTCCCCTGCAGGGGAGGGGCTAAGAACTACTAAGAAGAGGGCACCGCACTTGTGAAAATTGAATTGCATCCCTGACTACTATTTTGAAGTGAAAACTTCTTTAGGCGCATTGGGTATTTTTGAACAACAAACAAAATAATGTATTTTTTGAGATGGGAAAAAACAATTGAACTCGCGACACTGTTACCGTAACCGACACCTCTGTATATAAGTATCTACATATATTGGCCCCGTTTACACGAGAGCTGAGTTTAGGTTGAAATACATTGATATTATAGCTATATAATATAGACATATATTGTGTATATACGTACAACATAGATATATATTTGTCGGAACTTTTCCAATCGAAAAAAACAAAAAGAAAAAGTTCAAGTTTTCACTTCTGTCGGCATACTGGAGTGCCACTGTTTTTTTTTTTCTTATTTTGTCAATCCATTGAACGTTCATATTCAAAATGATGGTGAACCAACTGCCAACTTACTTGTACAGTTCTTTGTTGAATATGTGACTGTTGTATAGAAGAGACAGGTGCTAAGGAAGAGACGGCCGGTGTCGCTGTTGTAGTGGTAGTGGCAGGCCCTTGGGTCACCTCGGGCGCTTGTTTCACCGGTGTCGTCTGGCTCTACATCAAAGTTAACATGTTAAACTTATCTCCTCTCTAATTTTTATACTGATATTGAGAATTTTTTTGAAAAAGTTTTATAAGTATACCATTTTATTTAACAACTTTAATATTTATATGTTCAAACATGAAAATTACAGTTAGGCATTTAATTACAGTAAATAATATTTTTTTAATTAATATAAGCATCGTTATTGATCATAAAAAGAATATTAACTAATCAATTTGTTTCATTTGTAATAATTAAACTCGATTCTAAAGTCGTAGATTTTTTGTTCGAGTTTACTACATATCTAATAACTACAATCAATAACAATGTTTTTAAGATAGATCTATTGAAAAACAGCTACGTCAGTAAACGATTATAATATGTGCTCTGTTGCATTCGAAGCGAGAGATCTATTCTTTAGATTGTAAGGTTTCTAATACGCTTAAAAGTATTTATAATATGGAGTACCTGTGGCGGGTGTGGTTGGCTACGCTCTTGCGCATCTCGGTCGGCATGAGCAGCGACGGCGCTGGGCCCGCTCACAGTCTCCACCACGCGCATCAGGATACACGCGCGAGGACCGTAGCTTTGGGCCTGGGGGGTTTTTCAACAAAGTAATCAACAATAAGGGTAAAGCCATTTTGTTATTTTGAAAGTCTAATATTGCAATATGTAAAATTAATTAACAATAAGGGTAAAGCCATTTTGTTATTTTGAAAGTCTAATATTGCAATATGTAAAATTAATTGGTGCAACACAATTATGTGTAATGTGGAGTAGTGTTCTTACCCGTCAGGATATACCAACACTTTTGTTCTGCTGGTTACTCTTACGTAGTAATAAAGAAAATGATATTCAGATAAAAGAATAATCATACCTCAACAGTGACCAATGAGACGAGAGTATGTATAAGGCCGGGCACCCTCGCCACGGCCTCGCTGGCGCGGTCGCCCAGCGACGTGAGCGCGTACACGCACTCCAGCGTGCACACCAGCACCATTATGTCGCGCAGGGTCAGCAGAGCGCATACATCGTGGTACACCTTAGAACGGAGGAACGATATGTATTTAAACATTGATAATGTACATTATGTTTCTTCACGTAATGATTATAATAAATAATATAATCTCTTTATTGTACACCAGGTACATAAAGTAAGTTTATACTAATTAAGAAAAATACAATGGGTGCCTTATCACTCAGAAGAAATCTGTTACAGGCAACGGTGGAATGGAGAGTAAACATGATTCTGAAAAAATGTAAAATTCCTAATTCATCAGACACGGGTTAGTGTCAATTTGATAAGAAGAGGAACATACTTGGATGTAAAAACATAATATTTAAAAATTAATTTGAAGCGAAAATCAAACCTTATGTTTTCATTTCAAAAATCGTATTTACAACAACATTAATAGAAGTGTTACCTTAGCTTCCAATGATTTGAGCAGAGCATCTTCGTTGGTTTCATTTTGAGCAAGTTTGTTGAGTAGCTCGAGCGCGGCAAGCACCCGCGCTCGGTCCTGGGACACTAACGACGATTGGATAGTCGACAGTATGTGACGAGATATCAAGCACGTAGCTGGGTCCTGGCACATATTACACAGATCTGATTAAACATAAATTAATATGAAACTCACCAGCCAGGTGAGCGTAGCGCGGGAATCTCATACAACTTCTATCTATAGTATTCTATCTAGAATAATCTGAGTAACAAATATCTATCCAAATTTTTACACTTACAATTGTAATATTTTTTTGTATTAATTATCTTTACGCTAGATTAAGTCGATAAAGTTTATAGTGGCAGAAGTAAATCGCCAGCAGGATATTCGTAAAATATCACTATTTTTAGTATATCGCAGATATGGCATAAAACAAATATGTTGCAATTGGCCTTAAGTAATTGTATTTTATTCACCTTAATGATTAGCTCCGTGGACACGTTACCAAGTGTGTCTAACCCTGACTGTCGCAATGTGCCGACCCAACTGTTTGCACACAACAGTAAAAATCTGAAAAACAAAAGGTAGTAAGTTTTTCGCTGTTCAGAGAAAGTTCGCTGGCATTGTAGAATATTTTAATACTGTATAATTGTCAAGTCTAGTACAGAATTTAAAATGTTTGAGGTAAGTACATTATCTAGAAATTTGTATGAAAGAATGCGTTACCTAAACAAAAAAATTACACAGAGGAAATAATGTTATAAGTAAAAATATAAGTGAAAAGTTCTTCGAACACTAATATGACTGAGATCATTTTCATTTTTGTTTTCAATCGACTGGTAATGAAAACACCGAAGCTATTTCTTAACTAAAGTGAATAATAGAAAAACATTATATTTGGTCCTGTATATTATCATCTAGAACTAAAGTCAAACTAAGTGTTCAAGGAAAAGTGCCTAAACAATTGTATATTTTGCTGAGCTAACTACTTGAAGTTACAGACAGAAAAGTTGGTTTTGTTTACTATACCATGGATGAAGGCCTTTACCTGATCAGAGTGGTGTTCTTAGAGAGATGCTGGACATTCTCTTCGTGAAATGACAGTGACCGTACTATAGAAGCTATCTGTAACACTCTTTGGGTGTACACGCAGGAAGCACCACCAGGGAGCTCTGGAGCGAACAGTTGGTGATCATCCGAAGGTTCTGTAACCCAGTCTTCTAGTACATCCTGAATTAAAAACATTGCACTAGAATTAATTTAATAAAGAAACTAGCTCTTGCCCTGGGGCTGAGTTCATGGAAAAGTACTTTTCTTCAGTATGAAAGTTACACCTACAGTATTTCACTAAGATCGGTTGAGTTTAAGTGAAAGCTTATATGATGTCATTTAGAAGATATTACGGCGAAATTAAAATAAATGTACAAAATCTAAACTGATCTAAATCTCTGCCAAAGCAAATGATAATGCGAAGATGCGAAGTAACGAACGCGCTTGACAACACACGTGTCGTAATTGTTCATATAACATTTTTACTGAATCCAAAAAAGATTACATACTACACTTACATCATCGACGATCTTTTCCACTATCAATTCTTCTTCTTCGGGGTCATTCATCAAACAGTCAGTGAGGGTATTATGAGCTGCTCTAGCTTGGACTATGAGGTCCGGTTGTTCGACGCCGGGCTGCATGAACTTGGTCTCGTCGGCAAGTTCCTTCGCGCCTCCACCACCGGCGCGCATTCTCCAAAAGTCGTCAGGGTAAAGACCTCGCGCTTCGTAGTACGAGCGGCCGATTGTGTCTCGAAGACTCGCTTGATAATGAAAAATATTGAAATGATTATTTAAGTCAAAATAGTAAATAATACTTAGGAGCAAAAGGTTCATAATTAGATGTAGAAGGTTCAGTTATTCGCGTAAAAAGCTGAAATTTTGCTAACGATAGCATAATGTTAAAATGGTTTTAAAAAAGAAAAAAAACTATAAATACCTATATTTCATGAATTTAACTAACAATTTGCAATCACATAAGTTTCTTTGGATTGGATTGTTTCGAATGCGGAGTGCAGACGATCTGGCAGATTATGTTTTATCATTACTTGTCTGTCTCATAACGTATGGACAAATAAAAAAAATCTAACATAATTATTTTTTCTTGAATTAAGTCCTAATAGTGACCATATAACCTATTTGAAGTAGTATTATAACACTATGTTTGCATTACATATTTATCTACATGATCTGTAATAATTAAAATAACTCACAATGGTTATACACTCCTGCATGAGCCAGCAGAAAATCCAATATATGCGGCGTAGTACTCAAGGGGAGCCTGTTTGAATGGTCCGCAGCCAGCACAGTGCACACGTTGACGGCGAAGTCCTGCTCGTTGGGCATCGGAGACAGCAGAGACAGCGCGAGACGTTCTGATGCCGCCGCGACCCGGGACCCAGTGCGAAGTTGCTCACCTGAAGCTTAGTTGCGATAAATAATATTGTCTAACGACTAGGTATATTCTAACATGCAGACACAATACCCTAGGTTTTTATAAAGTATATTATCTTCATATTTTTTTTATTAAGAATATTATATACAGATGATTATTTTGTAACTGAACAACACAGGCTTACTTAGGCTTCATTTCAACTTCAAAAATGGGCAACTGTATACTATGGCTAACATATTTTGTTATGATCTTTTAATGATATTTTTAAATATCTAGCTTAAACATACATGAAATAAAAAAACAGAACCAGATTTTATCATTTAAATAAATCCATTAAGTATTAAATTATTATTAATAAAACGCTAGCAAAAATATTTAATATATTTGTGCAAAAATTACAAATTAACCAATTCCAACACCACACAATTTTGTTTTGTTTGTGTTCAAGTAATCTTAAATAAATTATAAATATGTATTCATCTAACAGAACAATAGATTGATGGTCAGAATATGATCATTAAAATGAGCTCGAAACTATTAGCATAGAGTCACTAATGTTGAGCAGCTTACGACTAAGCTTAACTATTTATCATCATTGATTTCAATTGTTAAAAGTAATATACATATATTTTTAAATGTAGAAATAAACAAAAATGTCGTTTGGTACCCTTCTCAACTCTAGTGTAAAAATTAAAAGTATGAAATAAAAATGTTCTTAAAAAAATAATAGAAGATAGATTATATTGAAAAATGTTTCGAATGAAACATACCTGATATGTACGTACTCCCACCATAAGATACGCGTGGTATGGCACCGCCACGACCTCGACGAGGGTCTTCATCCATGTCGTTGTCGTCATCTCGCCCGGGAGGGCCTTTGGTGCGTTCATATCTATGAAATTATCAACTTTGTAATTTATTTTCATTAATATATCTAAAGGAAACCTTGAACTACCTATGCAATATAGGTAAAGTATTCTAGGAAAGGATTTCACTGGTGCAGCCGTAAAAAAAGCATGAAAACTCATTTTACATCATTTTTTTTTTTAACCTGAGTACAAGTTGGTAATATTTTTGGTGATGTTGGTTTTATATTACGGGTAAAATTCATTATGTCTCTTACACTGCTATATAGCAGCAAAAATTAGGAATTGGGAATTAGTTAGATAACAATTTTTAAAGCCTGCATTTAAGAAAAAAGTTAAGTTATTATTATTTCTATTTATATTTGTAGAAATCTCACAATTCTTCATAACATACTCAAAGTAAAAATAATCGACATGCACATCGGTCACGCGTGACGCGTCAGAGATAGTTGTCAAACTTGTCATTTTATACATAGGTGGTACCCGTGACTCACCGGGGACTTCCTTTCTAGGGTATACCTGGTTCCCCGGCTATTAGTACCCGAAACGGCGTGCGGTTTTAGTCGGTTCGGGTCCGTCATGCCACCGTCGGTGGTATCCGAGGGAATGTCCGCACGGAAAAAAAAAAAAAAAAGGTGGTACCCGTGACTAGTGGTGTAGTACGGTACGTGACTACAGGCCATGAGGCCTCGAGTTCGATTCTCGGACCTTGCAAATTTTTTTAGCGTTTTTCTGAGGAAAATAGCCAAAGGTACTCCTTATATGTACGGCTGATAGTAAAATATTATCAAAATTGGTCCAGCCGCCGCCGGAACAAACAGACAGACAGACAGCCAATAAATATTTAAACTGGTTTTTAGGCATCGGTATCGTGCAAATAATCCTGTGAGTATAATCCGTAATTACAAACATACACTTCGATTTTATTTATTTGTATAGATTGAGCATTGGTTTGGTTGGATTGGTTTTGCAAAAATTTGCCAAACTAAAAACGGCAATTTCTCAAAATTTCATCGATATAAAATGTTATTTTATGAGTTACTTATTATATTAGTTCTTAACCGGTGTGAGGTCCTCGCAACACATCTGTTGGTTAAGAAGTATGTAGAAAAATATTTGGTTCATACTTTTTTAAGAATAAAAAAACCCTTTCTGGACAACTTCTTTGACACTAGGCCTTTCATATAATTATTATGAAAGACATGCAAATGCATTAATTTGAATACCAACATAATAAAACTTACTTTTCTAAATGTGACCCATATATTCTTCTCAGCAGTGTCGACCCATTAATACACGGATGTGGCAATCTCAATGGTCGCAGAAATGATTCCCAAGTATCATTTTGATTTACCTGCAAATATTAAGTTTTGTTGAGCTCTCTAAGTTACCTTTCCTATCTATTAGGAACAGTAATCCTAGATAAAATTAAAAGTATTCAATAAAGAATTACTTGGTGATTGGTTGAGTAGTTAGGGTGTGAACACGTACAAAAGAGGCATACTAACTCACAATCACATTTAGAATATTAATTAGGTTTGCTTGTAAATTAGATGAAGTGATTGTGGTTACACTCTACCACAAAGCCATTAACCAAAAGTTGAAGTGGAAGTTGATGAAGTGATTCTAAAAAGGCGAACTAAGTGACTCCAATATTATCATACCTATAATAAATATATATATAAATTGCTCATCTCAAGTGCATAAAAGTCAACAAGTTGATAATAAATTAGTCTCCATAAGCTATGGATAACAAATTATTATAAATATAATAGTGATTTAAACAAGTGATAACTGTTAACTAATTTCGAAAGTTGCTTCTTATTAGAATGTCAAGTCACTCTTACTAAAATGAATTTATAAAAGTAATTATGCACAACCAAAGAAATAGAGTTTACAAAACCTGAACAGTCAAGGATACTTCAAGACTTTCCCAAACTTAAACCATTGCGGTACCAAAATGACTTAAAAAACTCATACTCAACTCAACTCACTCAAGAATATCATATTTAGTTGTACAGCATTTAGAAATTCTTTTATGACATATTTTAGGGAGAGACTTTAGAGAAACATCATTTCTCACAAGCAAGTAGGTATTTCAATAACTAGAACCTCTGTTGGTCTAGTGGTTAATGGATGGAGTCCTGTGGATTTGATTTCCACAAAGAACAAATAATTCTGAGATTAGCATGATCATCTGTTCGTTGCCTCGGTGTAATTTCTCTAATTTGTATAATAATAATAACTCCACACATCTCAAACATGGCAGTCTGATCCCAAACTATGCAAAGCCTGTTCTACTGTGGTATCCAGGCTGCTTATAAACATACTTATAATTTCTTAATGCTTTTAAATTACACCCAGACACAGAACAAATGATTGTGCTCATCACACAATATTTGTCCAGGAGGCCAATTCTTGTAATAAAAGTTCAGTCTTAATTCAGTTAAAATCAACTTTCGATCTCACAACTGTCATTTAAGATACTTTCATAATGAAATATTAAAGTATTACTAAGACAAGCAGATTAAAAACTCAATTTTGATTTAAAATATGATAGAATCACATTACAGTCAACGTTGGATGTTAATAATTTGAATTGAGACCAAACTTTTATTACGAGAATTGGCCTTTTGGGTGGGAATCGAACCCACAACCTCTGGCTTAGCAGTCAGGGTCACTAACCACTAAACCAACACGCACGTCAGATTAAAATGGTGTATGTATTTAAAAATATATAAGTATGTTTATCAGCAGTCTCCACCTAGTTTGGAATCAGACAGCTGTGTGCGAGATTTGTGAGGTTATGATTATAAATTATTATTAATCCTTTTTAAGTAGCCTGAAAAATATACATAACACAAAAATGACAACGATAGAAAACACTTTTGACTCACACTTTAAAATAACTTTACACAACAAGTACATCACGGTTGCCTGTAAGAGATTGCCTTGGAACGATAAGGTCGCGACTTGTACTAACCTAGTTTAAGGTAATTATTATATATGTATATCTGGTGTACAATAAAGCGATACATTATTATTACATTAAATACGTACCTTCCCAAGTCCTCCTCGTTGTTGTACTAACATATAAAATAAATAAAGATCTATTTCTATTCCATTTACTATTGGTGTCTTAGTTGGCAAACTGGAACAACAAATAATTATTATAATGAAATAGTTATCCCCTGTGGCATATTGTTGTTGCAGTGATGAGAAATGAGATTCAAAACTAACGTGCATGTATATCATGTCAAAATTTGACCACAATTGGTGTAGAACTTTTTAAGTTTTGGAAGCATACACAAACCAACTTAACATTTATATATATATATATATAAAATAGGTCACTCAGGGCCAACATGTACTTGACTACTAGTTTTTTTTTTGTAATTTGACAATAATTTAATCATAACAGCTAAGATGTGCAACATTTTCTGGTTTATTTATCTTTAAAAGAAATGATTTCTCAGAAGTATGACTTGAGGTGGCATACTAGACTGGAAGTCATTGTAAGTCTTATATCAAATTCTGAATAAAAAATAACTATACTTTTTACTAAATATATCACAGAAGTAGAAGCAAAATTGTGTTAGTCAAGATAATTTCAATGCTATTTGGAGATTTAGCATTATGTGCTATGATGATATTTCTGAAACTAATGATTAGAAATGACCAGTTTATGATGACTATACATACAAAGTCGTTATACAGCATCACATAGATATGACAGTGTAGTGTGATACGTTATATTATTCAGAAATAATGCTATCCTTACTTTTTACTCTCGTTAAATTGCTTTAGATCCTTAAGGAAAGCGTCTCTGTCTTTAACGTAGTTGCTAGATTTCGTATTTATTTGTGCTTTTGCCATTTTTTCGGTTTTAATGAACTGCACGCCACAAACGCTTTTATCACTGTATAACGGCAACTATCAGCACCGAAAAGCGATTAGATCATTTGCTTTTAACAACACTTATCACATTATTGAGTTTCATTTAAGATTTGTTTATAAAATAATTATGAATTTACGAAAATACAATTCAATGAACTGTTTGCTATATAATTTTTTGACATTGACTTGACATGACAGCAACGAAGCCGGACAACGGACGCGATTATTTCATAATTGCCATTGAAAAAAATCGATTAGATCAGTGACTCAATTTGAAAGAAAAAAGAAACATTTATTTGCATAGAATACAGTTGGTACCAGATTTAACAGAGGTGTATTGTTCAAGCTATATTCTGCCTATATTAGGAATGCAAATATTTACATTGAAACACAAACATTTACTATTAATAACAAAACATTATGATATTTCCCAAAAATATAACAAAATGTCAAGAAAAGTTATTACATATTTAGTACATAAATTATTATTATATCACATTACATTAAATTTTACAAGTAATCAGATACATTAGTTCTATACTCAGTGTCGTTTAAGGCTGGGCGCTGCTGTGCCTCTTACTGTGTAGAGCGATGAGGGGCGCGGCAGCATCCCGCCCTGGGGTGATCTAGCGTAGGTACAAAGTTATCTCAATAAGTGAGGACGTGAGACTGAACGTGAATTCTTACCACAAAAATTTGGAAAAAAAAACGTATTAGTATATTATAGTGAGTAGATATGTTTTATTCAACAATGTACTTAGCCATGGGCCGTGAGAGTAACACAGAAAACCGAAGTTAAGAGAGGAGAACAGACCGAGAGAGGGCAAAGGACCGGGTTTAAATCTTTCTGTGGGCTTAAACCCATTTTTTCCATCCAACAGGGTTCCATCCATTCAGGTGTTTATTGATTTCGATCTCCGTAAATGTTAATTTCAATGGATAAACTACTATGTACCCCTTTCTACTCTCATATCTATGTACTAAATTCTTGTTACCTGTACCTGGCTGTAGCGATCGGATTGTGAAGCAAAATAATGAGTGTGGAGCAAACAATTTGTTTGGCGTTGCCTGGGGGAAATTTAATTAGTTGTATGGTGGAAAGTTATATGATTAACAAAATTAATTCAAGTGGCATTGAGAATTCTGACGCACAGAACGCACATTTAGCACACAAAAACTCACATACATGATGTGAAACGGAATCGTCTTACTGCAAAAAGAGCTGCTAAAATAACTTTAATTTCATATAATTGGAACGCATTCAATACAAATATATTAAATGAATGCATAAGTACTGATAAATAGGTCAGTGAGATAAGGTTCAGTGAGGTAACTTCCTCAGGGAAGTTTGAATTCATTAATGAAGGTGAGGTTGACGCATCATCTCAATGTATAGTAACAACACGAGAATATGAATTAGAATTCGTCGTTTGTAACAATTCTGAGTGTCTGATTTACATATTGTATGCTCTTTTTGTACATAAAAATAATTTGTATGTACCTACTAATTTGTCGTTTTATAGTTAATTGTTTTATTTAGTAAAATTAAACCCATCATTTGAACAAGATTTTGATAAAAAAATAGGAATAATCTTTTTGCATAAAAATCCTTTCTAAAAAAACCTGAATAAACATTATATTTAGTACCTTATAATAAGACCTTATAATTAAATATGTGAGAATCCGAGTTCCGAGAAGACGTTATAAATGTAAACAACTTCAAGCGACAAACTATTTCCGAGCTTAATTGTAAAGTTAGCTCATTTTTCAGTGCCATCCTGCCTTATAATTACAATAGTCGCGGAATTACATGGTTAATGAACTCTCTCTCTCTCTCAAGGTTTTGTGATGTCTCGTAACAATAATAGGTGATATATAATTTAGTAAAATTATATATCACCTATTCGACATAACGTCATTACGTGTAAATTACGTGCCATCCAACGTTGACATCTATTAAAAAAAAGTTGAACCGACTTCAAAAAATACTTCAAAAACCGACTTCAAAAAATACTAACAAAGAGCAGCAATCGCGCTTGATTTGCTGTCATTGTTTTGAAGAGTTCAGTTGTCTGTCACCGAAACTAATCAGATCTATATGAAATTTAAATGATACCATTTCGGAATAATCCCTTTCGAACAAAAAATAATTTTGAAAATGAAAGTGTTGCCATGTCAAAACTCAGGACGACGGTGACTCTATTTAAAAAAACGGTAGACTCAGAAATTACGGTTATTGTGGAAGCTCTCGAGTCTTTTTTTAGACACACAAATTTCTGCGTCTAAGTTTGAAATAGCTTTTTAAATTAGCGCCATTAACTCTTTATACAATGCTATAATTTTTAAATTTATTTTAGTTATCACAACAGATTCACTTTGGAAGTAAGTATTTACTGTTCTGAACTGTAACTTATAATGCACATGTTGTACAAAGGCGGACTTAATGCCATTAGGCATTCTCTCCCAGTCAACCTTCAGGTGATGTAGAAATATGATGATAATAAAGTTTAGTAAGTTGGTACAGTAAATTGATTGTTTAATTTATTTCCTTTACACATAGTCCATGAACATTCCGGACAAATATTTCGGTGTTATTAATATTAAGTTGATCGGCAAATCTCGGGCCTTTATTTCAAAACTAATTTTATTATTTTTCCTAATTAGAAATGCGATGAACTTACCATATGGCGTTGCGATTGGTAAAGATTTCAGTGCGGGCCAATCAGGCGGTCTCCGTGACAATCGAGTAAATGTGAAATAAACTCACACTAGGCCCTAGGCCTGATGCTGAATTGAATTAAAACGTGATATACGGGTCCTGCGTATAACGCATCCTATGATGTGGTGTGATTGCTTTACGATAACTTAGACTTTTTTGCGTTATTTCATTCTGCATTAGCCATATGTAATGTAAGGTAGTTCGGAGAAATCTTTTTATCATTTTCCATGTGAGTATTGAACATATTAAAATACCACGGGAGATTGCATTTTGCCAATAGCTATACTGTTAACAACAGAGCCATGGTTAAAATGCAAAATACTGTGATGTGATGATAACATTGAAGCTACCAATTATATTGTTTCATATATTTCAATTAAAGTTCATCCAAATAGTTGCTCACCTGATGAGAACAATGACATCCGTGGAAGGTTGGGTACTTTAATGTGCTGTTATTTATTTATTTGGTTTTATTATCACTTTTATAAGTAATATACTTATTAAAACTGTCCTGTAGAGAGTACATCATGACCGCCCCAAAGAAAACAACAGATTCAATAATAATTTCTATAATTATTGTAATATAAAAAAGTGTTGGTAGTTATTCAACCCTTGGAATAGACAATAGATATTTCCTCTTAAACATAACAAATATGAGGAGCGCGGTCAGATCGGGCGTGATCCTTCGCTCGTAAAAAAATATCATATTTTAATGCAACCGGCTGAGGCGCGCGCCCGTCCCGCCCGCCTAACGCATACTTTTATACCATTTTATTACAATATAATGTGATCTAAGAAAAATAATATTTTCGTCTAACGCCCGGTACAGGGCGTCTGGTAAACAATTTTATACTATAATTTGTTTGTTTGTCCCTTATCTTAGTACAAGCGTTCTATCCGTGACAAATGTATGCTAACATCGGGTTGCGCCGTCCGCACTGGCTCGGCGCCTCCCAACGCAGCGGTCAAACGTAGACCGACCTTGTGTCGAAGGAAATGCCACAGACCCACCTGTCATAGTCGGGTACATCTGGGTCGAATGGCTGCCTTTTACATTTGTTTACATACGAAGGCGACGCTTTTCGCTATCATATCGAGAATAAAAACATCCACTACAAAACATAATTTAGAATATCATTAATATTAGCTGCTATTATGGTAATTTATATGGGATTTCGTTAATTTATACACTATAGTATGTTCTTATTTTGACTTGCGGGACTCTTTCGACAATACAAGGAAGTGGAAGGAGGAACTACGTATTTTAACAAAACAACAGCATGTAGATATAAACATATTCTTGCTTATGCTACGACACTTATAAATTTGCTTAGTTAATTGGTGTTCAAGTTTAAACGCACCTGGACAGTTTTTAGTGAGCAAAATGACCCAGGCGTTGAAGTGACGTAGACTTTTTCAATAATACATACGGCAAGATAGGTAATGGAGAAGGAGTTGTACTAAGGAAAGAAATCGCAACTCTTGGCACTTAGACTTATGCTAATAATATTTCGGACGTGAAGGTTGTGCTAGGGGTAAGGTAGGATGCAGTAGGAGAGCTGTGCGATTATGAAACAAATGTGAAGATTTCAAGTAAGAATTTTACAAAAACCATTATTAGTACCATCGATGAATTTATATTTCTGCAGGAGAATAAGCCGTATTACTGGAAGAGGCTCTAGTTTTACACAAAAAAAAAACACATTTATCTCAAAACCGTACGGCAGATGTAAGGAGTGTGGTAAGCGACAGTACGATAGAAGGATAGTAAAGGCCCGCGTCGTGTCCGCAAACGGGATGGCGCAATCACGTATTCCTGCGTGCGTTTGTACGTACATGTGCGTGCGCGACACAACACAACGTGAACATTGAACAGTCATACATCCCATTTCACTACGTAACTAATTACTTTCACTTGAGATAATATATTATAAAATATAAATATACTTTTAAAACGTCAAGAATTTGAACTTATTGTACGTACATGATGTGAGAAGCAGTGTACAGCGTCAGGTCGACAAGTCGGGACAGGGTTCTATACACATACATCGTTTGGTATTTACTCGAGACACAAAAGCAAATGCACTAGACCTTATTGCCACACTTAAAATTATTGCTACCACATATACATACCGCTCTACGTACAATATATTGTAAATATAATCAATCACAACATCCAATAAAACAAAAATATCGCTTTAAATATTATTGCATTAATTTAGTTCAACTATAACTCAGAGGGCGTTCTTAGATAAACCAC